GGTTGGAGGGGGTTCTCCTGGGCAGGGTGTGAGTTGGAGGGGGTTCTCCTGGTCAGGGTGTGAGGTTGGAGGGAGGGTTCTCCCCGTCAGGATGTGAGGTTGGAGGGGGTTCTCCTGGTCAGGGTGTGAGGTTGGAGATGGGGTTTCCCAGTCAGGGTGTGAGGTTGGAGGAAGGGTTTTCCTGGTCAGGGTGTGAGGCTGAGCTTCCTGAGGGAGGTGGGTTTGAACTGGGACATTGAAGAATGGACAACACTTTGACAGGAAATAATGAAGATGGGAGAGGAAATTTCCAAGAAGAGGGAACAATATGAGCAAAGATGAGGGGATGGACTAGATGGTGGTGGGGACAGAGATCGGGAAGGGCTAAGGATGCAGAGAGGGGTGATGATGAGGCCTGGGAGTGTATGAGGATCTATCATAGAGGCCCCTGGATGTCATGCTAAGGAACTTGTGCTTTATGCTGTAGAACACAAAGGGACACTACAGGTGGTTGAGTGAGACAATGATATGTGGAGTGTCATACAGGAAGGATTAAAGCTGGGAGAGGGAGGAGGGAGGGAAGTAAGTAAGATGTTATCCTTCTTAGGTTTCTTGAATGAATGAATGAATGAACGAATAAACTTATAAACCCATTGAATACCAACATCTTCTAAGCAATGTTTGTGGTGCTGAGGGACGGGGATGAATAAACATTGGTTCCAGCTCTTCAGGAAACTGGGAGCTTGTGTTCCAGTGGGGGAGACAAACTCTGTATAGCCAAATAGCATACAGTGCCCCCTTGCTGTTCAACACAGGAGGGAAGCAACTAATCTTGCGTAGAGGAAGTGGGGGAGGCCACAGAGAGGAGAGAGCAGGTGAACTCAGTCTAAATGGATGAGTATGAGTTTTCCAGGGAGAGAAGGAAGTGAAAAACCAGGCATTGGATGTTGAATGAAAGAATGAAGTATATAGACCAGAGATCACATATAACATAGAAGTTAAGAGCATATATTTTAGACTCAGACTTGGGAGCCAACTTTCACTCTTCTACATACCACTGTGTGGGCTTGAACACTTAAGATAGCCTCCCTGAGCCGCATCTGTTATGAAGATGCAGTGGGATTGTGCACACAAAGACCTTAACCCAGCCCTGGCATATAGTGTAAGCTCAGTAAATAGTGATAGTCATTGTTCAAGTCATACAGCATACGTGATGTGAAGGAAGAGCCCTTAGGGGTCATCTGTTCCCGCCATGGAGGCATGCAGAAATTTCCTCTACCTCCCCACCACTCCAGCCTCTACTATAACTCTCCATGTGATGGTGGAATTCCCTGCTCTCCAAGAAGCCCACTGTAGGGTGTGTACTCTAAGTATTGAAAACTTCTTTCTATTGTCTTCGATGGGTTGGCTGCTAGCCACTGAGTCCAGTTTTGCCCTCTGGAGGAAAATAGAGAACACATAACTATATATTTTACGTGAAAGACATTCAGATATTTGAATACAGGTCTCATGATCCACTGAAGTGTTCTTTTTTCAGAGTCAGCACCTTCAGGTCATTTATCATTTTGTCATAAAAGGGCTGCCCACCTCTGCTGGCCCTCTAACTTTCCAGGATGAAGCTGAAGGACAGTCCCGAATCAAACAGAGTATCAACAGGCCAGAGTGGAGAGACTCTCTGGCACCTTCAGCCTGTGCCCTGGGGCTGCAGAAGTCTTTTCAGCAGCTGTGTCTTCACCTGGCTCTTACAATCTTGCAAATCTGGTCTTTCCACACAGTGGTGGTGAAGTCTGATGCCTTCATGTTTTATTTGTGCAACTGATCTTTTTCTTAACCTAATTCAAGACTTTATATGAATCTTGTTAAATATCATCTTGTTTATTTTGTTCCATCATGGGAAAATCTTTTGAATATCTCATCCATCTGGACACATTTCTCCTAGATTTGAGATTTCTGAGGAATTGATAAATGGGCATCCTATATCTTTAAGTGATATTGAAAAACAAAGTGTCAGATGGGACTGAACCAAGAACAGAGCCATCTGGCCCATTAGGGACCTTTCTCAGCCTTTGGGTGAGACTGTTCTATAGACTCAGCGCATGCACCTAACTGGTATCATCCAGCCCACTTTGTCTATTTGGCTGTCACAGGAAACTTTGATAACAAAATAATTTCCTGAAATCAAGCTTCACAATGTCTGCCATGTCCATTGGCACTACCAACTCTGCAACTCCACCAAGAAAAGGGAATGACATTTGTTTTTCACACCTTCTCAGTAAACACCAGTGGTTCCTTAGTAATCCTTAAATTTATTTCTAATTATTCACAATTTTTTTAATAATCCCTTCCAGAATTTTGACAAGGATCACAATCCATGTTTCTTTCTCATGTGAAAAGTCGAAAATGTACTCATCTCTAGTCTTTTGATTCTGGAATTCTTCATGAGTTTTCAAAGACTGAGGTTATATCTGCAAGTTATTTCAACACCAGGGGGTTAATTCAGTTCATTCAACAAATTCTGATTGAGTAATGCCACATCCAAGACACTATTCTATGTATGTATCATCTTTCACCTGGGCTTAGAAACCTGCATTTATTGCTCTCCCATTTTTCTCACCTATCTAGATTCCATTTCCTCTGCTAGATATTTGTTTAACACTTCTAGATTGCGGGTCATTTTCCTTGAAAAAGAAAACAGAAAAGCTGAGAGTTGAAAATCCTGCCTTTCCCCATCATGTAACATTATACCATCTGCCTCAGCACTGGGCCCATCCGTTCCTTGTTCCCAATCCAAAAGAAACAGCTTTAAAGGCACTATTTTGCTGTCTTTAGAATATTTTTTGTTGTTGTTTTTCATATTCAGCCTCTTTGCTGCATTATATCCACAAGTTCTAGCCAGACTTTTATCCTGCCTTACATATCGCTTTTTCAATCTTACGTGTCCTTCTAAAATCTGGTCCATTAGACAGTTCCCTGTGCAGCCACACTGATTTCTACTGATGCTTTACTCAACAAACACAGTTTGAACTGA